TCCACGGTCTCAGCATACTGGTTGTACTGTAGTCATGACATCACATGTGTCCGTGTCCCTCTTGGTTATGCGCTAACAGGTAAAATAAAGTACTCGGAGCGCGTCTACGATGCCTGCATGGACGCCTTCGACTGCCTGCCCCTGGCTGCCCTGATGAACCAGCAGTTCCTGTGTGTCCACGGTGGGCTGTCCCCGGAGATCAACACGCTGGATGACATCAGGAAAGTAAGTGTGTGCCTGGTTCCACCAGAGACACTGGCTACCTCGCTTTCCTCCCATGCGTTATCTGTCAGAATTCATGATATGACGTCGCTGGGTTTTTGTCTTCACAAGGAAGATATATTTATACTTGGAAAAGTTTTCTTCCCTCAGGCTCATGGCCTGTCTTGCCACATGATGGGCCTGAAAACATGAAGTACTTGACCTCTGTATGTCCTTTCATTTCCCATTAGGATTTTTCCCACAACCACCCATTGTATGTTCATGGCATAGTTTTCAAGAAATGTTCTTCCCTTGGAAAATACCACAGTTTGACCCTTAAAATTAGTTCATACTCTTTTGTTTTAAAATCTACTACACATTACAGCTTATAATGCTTAAATAACAGATGAGTCTATTGGCCATTTTGACTGACCAGGTGGAAAACAATGAACTTCTTAAGAAATTGGTATTAGCTGTCACTCTCACTCTAGCCAGAGAAAAGATGATTTAGATTAAATGTACAAGTGCAGTGTATTTTTCAGGAAAAATGTAATAATATAGGGTACTTTTATGTATTAGGAGAACCTCTTTCATTTCTTTGGTTATGTTTGTTGCCAGGCAGTATAATTCTGATAATTATAGTAGTGTAATAAAAATGAGAGCAATAAACTCCTCATATTTTTCTTGATGCTAAAATCTCCAAAAAGAAAAAGCAATGAAAAAAAGGTATGTTATCTTCAAATAATACTGGCATTATTTTGAAGTCTAAGAACTTACATTCACATGTGTAATGTGGCTGGAGGGTTGTGCTCACCATCTTGCCCACTGTATAAACAGAAATTTTCTTATGAGAATTTGAGTATTAGAAAACTACACTTTTTATAGGACCTTCTTTCCTCTACTCCCAGAAGCATAAGAAAATATTCTTGTACGTATTCCAGAGTCCTAAGGGGGAAAAAAAGGGTGATAATTGTACTACTTGTATAAAATTAGTTTCATTGATAATTTTAGAAACAATAAGCCCATCATAGTACTTTAAATTACTGTACTCGAGCTATGTATTAAAGTTGGGAGTTGCTGACTTTTCTTGTAAAGGTTGCGTTTATCTGCTCCCCCTCCTGTGCCATGACCAGGATGTCCTGTTTGCAGGGGGCATAGGCTGTGTGGCTGCAGTCCAGACTTCCTCAAGCATGACCATGGAATAGCCCAGACTCTAACTCGTGCTTAGGACTGAGGAGGCCTCGTTCCGAGACCCCTGTGCTGTCAGTTGTTCGAGTAATTGTCATTTAGTTGCTTTTTCCACTTCCCTTGAGTTTGGAAACTTCAGAGACCTAGAAATCTATATGCTGATCAACATTATGCCTTAATTCAATCAGCTGTCTTAAGTTAATATTAAATTAGTAGATAGCATTTCTCCACTGTGTTTAGCGAGGAAGAAATCAAATAGCCATATTTCCTGTATCTTATTGGTAACCGGATAACCAGTGACTGTAGTAGGTATGGAAAATGGGATGGGTCGAAGTCCAGATGAGTGTAGTTGTACTTTTAAGGAATGTCAGGCATCAGGATATTGATGTTGTACTGGCTGCCAATAACCAACTTTTATGGGCTGGGATGAAAAACAAGAAATGAAGTATCCTCCTAACTGAGAATTAGTGAGAAGTTCACTCCAAAGCCCTTTTAATGTTACAGTGAAACTATGTAAAATTCTCTACTGAATAAAATAAGTAGAAATGATACACGTATTGGGCTATTTTATTGAAGACACAGCTCTCAGCAAAAATATATATAAATCTCTACTGCAAAATGAATAGTCACTTTTATATGATTTTTATTTGCTGTGTTTCTTCATGGAACTCATGGTGTGGAAATAAATTACTTTCAATGTATTTATGCATCATAAATCTCTTAGGGTGAACTTAGTATCTTTTAAAGGTTCATTGATTGTTAGAGGAAAATTATGTTGAGAAGGCAAAACATTTAAGTTTTCCCTTAAAAACTCTGCATAAAGATTCAAATAAAGGCCATAAGTAAATACTTTCCTATTAGATAGGAAATGTGTGATTTTCATTTTAAAATTAAAACTATTTAGGTCTTTGTTCCCTATTCTTTCTGTGTCCACTGTCATAAGACATCCTTACACATTTGCTTTGGGCACTGTTGTGAAAGCAAAAGTGGTCTTGCTTTGCATTTAAGGCACTCTACTGATGCTGCTTGTGCCTTGGAGACCAGGGAAGGAAAACTCTTTCCTATAGGAATTTAAATAAGCCTTTTTCCTGAGGGACTCCTGAAAACAATGATTGAACATCTCATGATGTGCTAAGTAGATTTTAGAAATATTTCCTCTCTTCAGGATTTACTATCCTGCATATTTTATTTCACTTTTATATGCTTTTTTTTTTTTTTTTTTTTTTTTTTTT